TACACAAATAAATCCATATGCAACTGCAACTCGCCTTGATAGTTTCCGACGGCAGAAAATATAAACTTTGGGTTCGATAAAGGGGCCCGTGGAGCCTGGTAAGCAGTTCGTTTTTTTATGTTTTTTTTTTTTTTTTTTTTTTTTTACTGTGACACGGGCGGGGTGGTCAGTGCACGGCCACGGACTGCAGCGTGGACGGGCTGGTCAGAGTCTCGCTCGGGGTGGCCGGGCTGCTTTGGCTGGTCGCTGTCTGTGGGGAGGTCGGGCTCAGGGACTGCGGAGAGTTTGATAGGAAGGCGGGGATGTGGGGGGGCAGCGCCGAGAAACCGGCCATGGAGGTCGGCGTGGGCTTGATGGGCACGGGGATGGCCGGCAGCGACTGACCGCCGTGGCACAGGGACTTGATGGGCACGCCGTAGGCACTGTAGTCGCCGCCCGCCATGGAGATGGGGGCCGCCGTGTCGATCACGCCGCTGTTGTACATGTGCGGCCAGGCCGTGGTCAGCTGGTTGTGCAGCGGGTAGCCGGCGGACATGGACTGCATGGTGGAGAAGGCCAGGCTCCCGGGGACCTTGTACTCTCGGGCGATGATGTTCTCGATGGCGAACGGGTGCTTAAAAGTGGACGACTGGGTCACGCCGAGGTTGTAGGTGGACATCTGGGGCAGGTGCGTGCCGGTGGCCGCCAGCGCGCTCAGTCTGAGTTTGGCCTGCTGCTGGAGGTAGTGGGCGGCGTCGGACTGCTTGCTGGGGGCCAAATGGTCAGAGGCGGCCAACACTTTGAATCTCTTGCGGCGCCGCAGGAAACTCCCGTTCTCGAACATGTCCCCGCAGTTGGGGTGCAGAGCCCAGAAGCTGCCCTTACCTGGCTGGTCCGGGCGGCGCGGGATCTTGATGAAGCAGTCGTTGAAGGACAGGTTGTGGCGCAGGGAGTTCTGCCACCGCTGGGTGTTTTCCCGGTAGTAAGGGAACCGGTCCATGATGAACTTGTAGATCTCGCTGAGGGGCAGCATCTTCTCGGGACAGCTCTGGATGGCCATGGCAGTGAGGGAGATGTAGGAGTAAGGTGGCTTCTGGTCGCTGTAGGTGTTTCTACCCGGTCGAGGCATCCTCGATTTTTAGTTTTTGTTTCTACTTCTTGTTCTTCGCAAAAAAAAAAAAAAGCAGTTTTAAGACGGGGGAAAACGAGACACCGGTGTATTCTCCGTTAATTCCTCGGCGAAAGCTCGCAGCCTGTCACGCAGAGAAAAAGTTTTCAGCCTGGGCGCTGCGCGTCCGCGGAGCGCAGGGGAGCACGGGCGCATTCACGGAGCGCCAACAAGCCGTGGGTCTGTCTCGCAGAGTAAGTCAGCGTGTCCCGCTAGAAGAGCTGAAAAGGCTTCGTGCATGATACGACGAGCTGAGCGTATGCCTCCATGGCCTCCCTCTAACCATCTGATAGTTTTATGTAGTGACATGAGCAGAAAAGACCCCTGTAGAGGCGCTCCATTAACGTGCCACCTCTTTGCTATCACATGACAATTGCCATGGGAGGAGGGGGCTGGGAGGAAGGCATAATCTGGTTTCATTTACACCTATTTACATGGACACCTTGGGCCAATGGAAATCATTTCCATTTGAAGACAGAAAAAGGGGCGAAAAGGCTGGGTAACCGGAACTGAACTGCGATGGCACTCAGTGTGTGAAGGTATGCGCTCCTCTGCGAACTTAACACTCACACTTCACCATTAGGCTCTGCGTCTTTTCTAAACATTATCGCGAGTTATTTTTTTTAACTATCAGTGACTATGTCGCCGACTGTGTTTGTTCATTTTGCACTTCATTTGAAAATGTTTTCTTGAAATATTCCGCAGAGATGCGCGTAATGAGCTATTTAGCTAAAGGAGGCCCATAAAACGTTAAGCATGTCGAGTCATTCTTTTTTTTTTATTATGTGAATCTAAATGGTGGAAATCCGATTATACAGTTAAAATGCTGAGAAAAAACAAACATCCTGCGCCACTCCTCTAATTACATCCTTCGCATTGTTTACAAATTGCACAGCCCATACCAAATAATTTGCCACGAGCAAGTTAGCTGATGAGCCGACTGTTAGTTTTTCTCTGCTAATTTCGCCCACAGCCGAGAGAAGGAAACACATGATATGAAAACGTCAACAAAACGCAAACAATGCTGTCCAAACGGAAACTTCATGAGGCAATCGGGTCTATTGTGTTTATGTAAAGAAGATTCCAAAGTACTTCAGAAATGCAAATAAACCCTCAAGGATGGTGTGGCGAAAACTGTATAAAATATCCATAAGTCAATTATATCAATGCGAAACCCAAACGGGAAGCCTATTTCGAGCTAGTGCTATTCAAGCTTTTGGCCAGGGCCACCTTTCCGCTTGGAGGGTTTGCAATGCCAGGGACCACACACACGCACACGCAGATTTACTCATAATTTATGCTAATTTCCCCCCATAAACCCACAGTGCACCCCATCACCAGTCTGATGGATTACGACAAGAATCGCGGGGAACACCGAGCTCTACTTTGAGAAAGCAGAAGCAGGCTGCAGAGGAGAATTTATAACGTCCAGTCAGTCCAAATATAGGGGCTAATGTAATTAATTGTGGGGGGGAAAATTGATGAAAGAGGGAAGGTAGCTGAATACCCCCCAGAAAAAAAAGGTGCCACAATTGGCTTTTTTTCCCCTAAAGTTAATAGAAAGAGTTGGATTTGTGTGTGTGAGGTGTTTTTTTCAAAATCCCATTTTCCCCCACAGAGTGGCTTTTAACACCTGTCATTTCGCGTTAACGTTCGGCTGAACAGGTTTTGTCCAAAAGGAAGTGGCCCTGTCGCCCCAGCTCAAACACTGCGGATAATGACAACAAGCTGCCAAGAACCAAACATCTTCTGACACCCGGGCTATTCATCCAGCTTTTCATTTTCAAGCATTTATATAGGACTTCTTGGGGTCTCGCTCAAATTAAAACGTCTGCGCCCAAACGGGCCAAAGTGTTGCGAGAAATCAGACACGTAGATCTGCAGATCTGGATTCACGTTTGCCGCATTTCACGCAGTATTTAAAGCATTTAGATTTATGGCTCATGCAGAAGTTGGGGGGGCTCGTATTTAGTTGTTATTTAGTTGCAAGCTTGGGTGTCCTGCCAGTTTGCGCCGTGCGTTATTTTTTTTTATAACCAGAACCCCCACAAATGCGGAGAGTTCTTTTTTTTTTTTTTTTTTTACTCTTCTCCCTCACAGACGCAGTGGCTTTTTGAGCTTCGAGGTTATGGGATATTGGTAGGCCTTTTGTCCCCGTCCAATGCACACAGCGAAAATACCACCATGACTCTGAATCTGAATAGGGTTTTTAGCTGCTCCCAAACTCCTGAGTTCAAGCAGCAGTAGATCAAGTCTGCACTATGTTTGGTCATTTGTAGAAACCCGAACAAAGGTTGGGATAAGCCAAATTGCATTGCACTTGTGAACCGTGCCTCGGTCTGAAGTATCCTTTATAGCAGGAGGGGAACCAAGAACAATTTTGTGTGAGCTTTAAAAAAAAAAAAGGAGAGGAGAAGAGCGAAAACAAAGGGCACTTTCTGAAACATCTTAAAGTAGAGTAGTGAGGCGTGACATTCCCAGGGTGACGAGACACAAAAGCTGAGGTCATGGGGATGAAAAAGAGAATCAAACAGCCACTTTCACACGTCTGCCCTCCTCTGCTGCGCCCCCGAACACAATGGGAAACAAATGTTGTTAAAAGAGGATCGATGCCATTCATCCTAAAGCAGCGAATGATAGCCAAACAATATTGTCACACTGAATCGAGCTGAGATATGCTGCCACCCAGACCCACGGAGAGGGAAAGTAACTGTTATTCACCCAACGATTAGGCTTACCGGTGTATGAATGCTGCTTAAAAACACTCGATCACTCACACACACACACACACACACACTCAAACACACACACAAACATTTATTTAAGGGATGCACCCACGTTTGAAAATCAACAACGGATAATAAAATACATAAATTGGACGTGAATCTTTTTTATATGATTAAGTAAATGTTTTAAGAGAATTACATTTGGTCCAGATTTTTTGTGATGTAAAATGGTCATTTAACTTTATTTCTTTGTATTTTTTTTCCAGGTGGTAAAGTCCTTCTGGTTGTTGCAGCGCATCACGACGGACTCCAGGCAATATAGATTTAGGTCATTAATCAGTAGAAAAAAAAAAAGAGGTTGCTGGAGGTGCACAAACTTTGAAGACAAATATTTTCATCCCAACGAAAGGATGAAAATACCAACATTTTTTAAGGCGTTTTCGTCTCTCACATTCTCGTTATTCGGCCCTCAGATTGACTCAGATTTGGCACGTCGCTGGTCTGTGCGTAAAAACACACGTTCGGTGTGAGAGAAAGCGGGTACAGTTTGTTGTCTCTCGCAAACTCGTCCGATAGGCCTCTAATTAAGTCCGCAGTGGCTTCAGCCCCCAAGAGATGTTTTACGGTGCAATTAAGGACGCGCTGATGATAAGGTATGAATATTCAGCAGAATGACAATTAATTAGCAGACAAAGTGCTCTCACCACAACCTCCTCAATGGCAAATTTAGCCTATATGATGGGATGTTCACAGCACTTAAAGGCCGTTCTCACGCGATGACACCTTGAATTTCGACCAGAATAACAGGGTAAGCCCAAATATTATCTCTGATCTCAGGATGGAGAAAGTGCGTTTCCTGCTGATTTCATCAAAGAGCAGGATCACAGTCTTCCTCGCAGCGCCGTCCATTAGCAGCTTCTGGGTGACATCAGACGGGGTACCTGAAAGAACACCTCAGGGCATTGAGAACATATGCTCGGATTATGCTTAATGGTCTAATTACATAAATTAGGCATTCATTATACGGCGCATCATCTGTAACAGATATCTCAATTGTACGGGGGCGGGAACGAGTGATTCAAATGTTCTGGGACTAGTTTTTAGCATTTGAAAGGGGAAAAAAAGTCTCAATTGGGAATATACCAGGTAATAAAAATCTATTTATTTCAAGAGGATATTATCAAATCAATTAATTCAATTTAGTTGTTTTGTTTTGTTTTGGTTTAAGGATTTTGTAATAGTGCAGTGTAAATCTATCTATCTATCTATCTATCTATCTATCTATCTATCTATCTATC